GAAAAAGGTGAAATATCAGTTAAAGGGGCTATTGATGCAAAGAAAATTCAAGCAAGATTACAGAAATGGAGTAAGAAAAAAGTTGAGATCATATCAGAGACGAAAACAAAGGAAGATGTGAAAAAGGTTAGAAATTTCTAAATGATCTTGTTATAAGTCTGCATTTTTGGCGATTATAAATGTAAGTTATATTTCTAATGTATTCCCAATATTTAAATCAAATTGCTGCATTATATTAGGCATCCATCCTTTGAATATTTACATTTTTCCTAAAAGAAAATTATATTAAGTTGATTTCTTTATTAATTTTTATTTATTTATTTACTGTATCTTTCAATAGAACAAAATAATTATTAATAACATTTTTCTACTTACCATGAAGGGAAAGGAAACCATAAAAACATTTACTATAAAGACTTACTTGCATTGTGATGAATGTGAGCGTGAGGTGAAGAGAAGATTGCTTAAGCACAAAGGTACGTAATGATATATTTTCTTTTTCTTTTGTGTCCAAAAATGGATGTAAAAGTTCACTGTTAATATGTGCAGGTATTCACAATGTAAAAACAGACATTAAAGCTCAAACTATAACGGTGGAAGGGGTGATTGAATCTGATAAGTTATTAACATATATGCGAAAAAGGGTGCACAAATATGCAGAGATTATACATCCAAAGGAAAAGAAAGCAGAGAAGAGCGAAGAAAAGAAAGTCGAGAAGAAAGAAGAAAAGAAAGAAATGGTCAAGGTCGAAGAGAAATCTGGAGAAAAAATTGAGGAATTTAAAGAAGTTAAGAAAGTGGAGGTAAAAACCAAAGAGGGTGAAGTTCCATATTTCATTCATTATGTATATGCACCTCAATTGTTTAGCGATGAGAATCCTAATGCCTGCTCAATAATGTAAATATATAAGCCTGATCGCCTTCTTGTCCACTGTGGGTAGGATAAAAACTTTTGCTCTTAATAAACACGAGATCAGGCCCGTATAAATATATATACCTCCACTCTTTGAACATTACCGAGCCAAATGTTTGTGTTCAATTGAGTATTTAGTAGTCCAAACTCTAAACTAATAATATAGTAGGTCGACGAATGTAACATATGTAATTCTACCACTGTGGGTAGGAATTTTATTGATATATATATATATATATATATGCAATCCATATATTACACATTTGAAGAAACGGGTTTTACACATCCCCAAGTAGAAAAGACTTCGAGCTTTGAAAAGTTTTAGTTGACCATTTTAGATTCTATTTTCAGCCCACCAAATGAAATAATGATATCGATTCACAAACCAAAGTTGATAAATGACATTCTCTGAACCAGAGAGTATTCAAGTTTTTACATTCTAAGATTTATTTGCGGGTTGAAGCTAATTAACTTCCACGATAAGTAGAGAACGAAAATGGCGAAAGTAGAAGAGGAACATGAAAATGCTCCAATTTCTGCGACTCGCTGACTTCGAATACAATAGAGACATATGGGAAAAATCCTGCGGGGTTATATTTTCCGGTGTTGAAACTAATCCTGTACATCCCCGGACTCAAAGCATCGGCCATATCTATCAACTGACCACTTCGTCCATCTTTATCTGTCGTTGAAGACCCTAGGGTCATCCAACCACCCAAATCGGCCTCGCCAAACAATGGTCGTTGTTGATCGTTCTTCCACATCTCCAACTGTACTTCAATTCCAGTAGCTGGTGACCCACGAGCTAAATCAAGCACATGGGTTGTGATAGGCGGGCGAGTCCTAGTAAAAGTTTGACATGGTTTCACCACAGAAGCTTCATTTGCAGCTGTCAAGTGTGCTCCAATAACGTTCACCCGATCTTCTAACAATGATAAATGAGCAGAAATCTCAATTAGTAAAGGTTCCTTAAATGTTCGAGTAAAGAGAAGGAAACTAGCAAGAGTAACAAGTCCCATTTATAGTAAATGTAGCAAAAGTGGAAACAAAATAATGCCAGTTTCAGTCTAAGATGATTATCATGGTTAATTTTGTGCCATGAATGCATTGAGGCTTACAATTGATTTGCTTCAGTTATTTCTGTCTTTTTTATGATTTTTTTCGTTCTCATTTTTCTTTCTACCATGTATATTAAGCTTCAACTCCAGCAAAAACTAAACAGAAAGAATAAACCCATGCGATCCAGCAGAGAGAAAAATGTGAAACTAATACTGCTCATTTTTGCACTAGTGCCCAAGATTTTTCAGATACTTAAAAACTTTGCCAAAGCCAACAGTAGCACTTCCAACAAGCATACGAGGTGACTAACCAAAATCATGTCATAAAGCAACTTCTAGTTTTATTGAGTCCACATCACTGTTGGAAAACTGGAAAACATGAGAAGAAACTAGGAATACCATGGACCAACAAAAAGTGAATATGATAAAAAGGAAAAGCCGATCTGATGCAAAATCACCTCCAGCTTTTGTCACATCTGCAGCATTCTTGGTTTGAATTTGAGAAACAGTAGCAGAATTAACTGTAAATAGCTTGGAAAGACGAAATTCAGTTACTTTCATTTGCTCCTGAGCTGCAAGCTCAAACTCAACTATAGGCCTGTTTTGGTAGCGTCTCTGCAAGAATGGAGAAATAAAAGAAAGGTTACCTATTCTCTCTTCAATTTGCATCAAGGGTAAAAGAGAGAGTACAGCATCCAAAGAATTGCCAAAAACATTTTACCACGATAAAAAAAAAAAACCATTAAAGAGTTCATTGTGAATGGAAGAACTGAGAATTAGAAACTCGTTCCATCCATAATAACATTTAAATTTTCCTAGCTAACTAACTGTAGATGGCAGGAGCTGGAGGATAGAGAAAAAGATCAACTGCAGTGCCGCTTGTTTAGTGCAGGGAAGCTCCTCTTGACAACAAAACACACTAAGCCATATTCCCTATAAATTTAGGGCCGGCAAAGTAAATCATTTTTCACCCATCCATATGGTTTATATTCTCTGTCTACTGGAAGGTCTAAAAATCCACTCAAAAAGTAACACCTTATTAATTAAAAAAAAAAAAGCAATAAGAAATGATAAAATACCTTCATCTCGGCGAGTATCTCTGGGGTACTCCTCCCAGATGCAAATATCAGAAAGACAAATCCAAACTTCTGCCTATAGCGGACATTCCACTCATTTAGCTCCTAGAAAATAAAATGCATCAAAAACTTCGCTAAAGGTAGAAGACTCATTCTCCCAGTGTTATATACCTGTTCCCCAAAAACCTCCAACCCACCAAGAAAGAAAACAAAGATTTGCGCACAATTCAAAAAAGAAGAAAACACGTGCATAAAGTAGAATTTTCATCATTTTTTGAGCATAGGAGTGAACTGCCCAGAAATAAACAGAACAGCCATGTAAGCACTCAGCTAGTGGCCAGCAAATCAAACATTTTAGGCCTAGAACCAAGTCAATAGCTCTTCAAATTCAGCTTCAGAAACTCTGTGGTCCTTGTGCTTATGAAACAGAATAGCTGCCATAAATACCTGTAAGGTCGCATCAGTAGCAGTAGCTAAAGCTGTAGACTGCTCTCCCTTGCTCCACCTGTAACATGAGATATATGAGTTATTACTTCCAATCTCATGATGCAGTCACCTGTAGCTAGAGTGCCAATGATCAATAAATGACATACTGTCATACTTATAGGAAAAACAAAATATAGTACAACAGATATCTCGTCCTCATTTTTCATTTTCTTGTGTTAATTCAACTATTACAATTGTTCCATGAATGAGACTACAAACAAAGTCAAGATTGAGTGACTCTAGTATTATGCTAAACTATGTCAACTCCAAATAAGCATGGATAAAGCTTTATTAACTTTAGCCTCGGT